AACCTCTGTGTTCCAATGGCATGCGAGAAAGATAAGCAGCCAACCAGAGAAGGACACGACTGAGGTGCAGTATATAATGAGCGGCGTGGCCAGCGTGGTGGACTCGGATGGAAGGCGCCTGACGCGTGGTTATGGATTCTGATTGGTCAATGAAGCCTGTTCTGTTGTACCAGTATTCTTCCTATTAGAGCTCGGGTATTCTACAGTGGCGATGGATCAGGGCGCAGACATATTGGTCAACCCTGGCCTCAGCCAATCCTGTGTCTATGCGTTGCAATGGCATGCGAGGAAGTGATCCAGCCAACCAGAGTAGGACATGGATGAGGTGGAGTAAATAATGAGCGGCGTGGTGGACGCGGATGGAAGGCGCCTGACTTGTGGCTCTGGCTTGTAATAGGCCAATAAAGCTTGTTCTCTTGTGCCGGTCTTCTTCCTATTAGGGCTCGAATATTCTACAGAAACTACATTAAAGGGCACAGACATGTTGAACCAAACTGGTCCCAGCTAATTCTTTATCTCTGCGCTCGAATGGGATGCAAAGAAGATAGACAACCAACCAGAGACAGACACGTTTGAGAAGTGGTATATAATTAGCGGGGTAGCCAGCAGCCTGGACTCCGATGGACGGTGTCTGACGTATGGTTCTGGCTTGTGATTGGTCAACAGAGCCTGTTCTATTGAACCTGCCTTCACACTAGGGCTACGGTATAGTACAGAACATTGGAATTTGAGGGAAAATAAGAGGCGCTACCATTTTGTTTCCCATTAAACTCGGACATTCCTGATTCCATTTGGCTTGGATGGCCTACTTGTAATATCAAGCGATTTAGCTAATTCGGGTTGTAAAAAACCATATTTAAGGACAATAAGAAAATATTAAAAAAAAACAAATTACTGGTGTAGCTAGTAATAGGGAGTTGAATGTTTGACACAAGATACACGGTTCACAGTAATATTTACCTAATGAAGTCCAATTTCCTGTATCCAATTTTTTATTATAGCGCTGGATATTCAGAGTTGATATTCGACTTCGATAAAAGCATTTAATCCTGTTGATGCAATGACATTGGCGATATAATAGCTACTCAAAGGTTCCCAGACTTAAATGGACATAGAAATCGACTTTTTACATTGATTTACGGGAATTTTCCTTTCGATATCTATGTTTTAATGTCTGACTTACAAAATTTTTCGCATATTTTAAGAGGAATGGTTTTGCGAAGAATAATCAAGAAAATTTTTTGTTTTAACCATCTCTTCCTATAACTAGATTTAAAGATATTTCGAATGTAAGGCCCCAAAATCGCCTAAACGTTAACGGTTAAAATCATAGCTCCATTGATTTACTAGAAGGAGCGAACAGATGCTCAAGTATAAACGTGTGACAGTTGTCATTGATTCCAAAAATTTTCTCTTACACTGGGTTGAATTTAGGATAAAATTTCTGAGAACATTTTTAAATTTATAACTAGTCATTGTAAGACAGTAAATCATATTCCCCTATGAGTAAACTTTTAGTTTATAAGAACAGCCATTTTAAATTTAGAAAGATTAAATCCAAAATGGCTGATCTGAATCTGAATAAAGTAGAGTACATGGGTCATGAATACAATTTTTTTTTGTTTTTACCCAATGACATCTCGTTCGAAATTAAGTATCTAACTCTTAAAGCACCCTACAAAAACAAACTCGCGCAGTCAAATAAACGGAAACTCCTTTCAAAACAAGGCTGTATTCATGAATGTATTCTCACTTCACACGATGGCTTTTGATCACAACATTTCAGTATAAGGTGGTTTGAACTGTCCCACTTACTCCGCAACTTCGATACTGGATTTTCCTATCGGTACATGCTGATTCGAATCTGTCCGCGAAAGTTCTGTCGTCTCGCGCTAAATTAAGCAAAATCAAGTGAAACAAATTGGCACATTTAAGCCAGATCCTGCTGCGTACACCACAACTTACTGCAACCAAATCGCCTTTGTCTTCAGCCTTCAATTCAGAACCTAAAATAGCCACCCAAATATGACTTTAAAACATATTTTTTTCCACTCATGATAACTGATTTTAACACACCTGATCCGTCCGCGACGAGAGTCTTGTGAACATTTTCCACCCTAAAATGCCAGCAGACGAAATAACATGACGAGGTAGTTCTTTATAAGAATGAGGTTTTCCAAGGGAATGACTTGCTTCAAGAAGCGACAGCGTTCCTGTTAGCGTGTTGCACTTACATTTTACAGATACTGTCAAGTCGATTGGTCTCATCGACTGCCTCCCTCTGGAGGACTTGGTGTGCGGCCCAGTACTGCAATTCGGTGACTGACAGCTCTAGGTCATCGTCATCATCGTCATCTTCTTCATCGCTACTTTCCCCTTCATAGAGAGCGGCGATAGCCTCTTTAACATGAAGACTACCTGAATAGGAAGAAAAGCTATTGATGGTGACTAATAATGTATTGTTACTTTTCTTGTAATGGATTTCTTAATATCCTTTTAAATCAATCCATAAAAAATTGGAACAAATTTAACTCACCAAAGCACACTTAATCTTGCCTCATTTTGTAATGGTAAAGTCAGTCTGGCAATAAATGTCATCAAAGAACTTATGTTAATTTCACATAGTTGTCACATAGATTCAACTGATTTATGCACATTTCCTATTGCATCTAAAGCTATTTTAAAATGCGTTTCAGTATTGGATTTTTATGACAAAAGGTCAGGCATTATAACAAAATCCACAAATATAACTACTGATGAGGTTCGAACATGCACCAAAGAATTTCAAAGTAGTCTCACCGAATGGTGATTCTCGGCGCCTCATGGCATCCACACAGAGCGTCATGAGATAGGCGACAACCTCCAGCACCACCTGAATGACACCGAACGGCGCTGGCACAATGGTCTTGGCCTTGTACTCAAGCAGTAGGTAGTACTTGGTGCTCATCCAGAATTGCAATGACTGAGCTTCGATCTCGGTGAACACGTTGCTAAAGACAAGGTAACAGTCAAATGAGAGTCACATTTGTGGTGATAGCTGGAAATTTATAGCCTGGACATATTCCACCAGATGACTGCAACGGCAATGCAAAGAGTGCCCAAGGAAGAGCTAAAGAAAGTGGTGGTCATAATTGGTGAATGTTTTGCTACTGTCATTGCGAAATACGTTTCCATGGCGATTCGTCCTTTTCCACAACATTACTTCAATACGTTAACGTCCACTCCCATTACGCGAAGGCAGTGAACGCACATTGAACTACTTATAGAGTACTCAAAATACATGACATCCAAAGTTACCTCATTAAATTGAACAAATGGTCATTGTGTAACGCAAATCACCCAATCTAGATTTCTTTGGGTTCATCGAAGCGTGTCTCAAAAATGCTCATGTGAGATGAATTGCTCATTTATGCAACGCCCAAGCATCGTGTTTCGTCATCAAATGAAAACGATGGAAGAGATTTTAAACGCAGTTCACGTATGAAGCACATAACCTCACCGCATTCCCTGGTACACTTTATTGATTATCTACTTCAGAAAGCACTATGATTTGCTCTGCTTCACAACCAGCAGTGTTTCTAGGAGAAAAGTCATGAATTCCTGGGTAGAGAATTATCAGAACGACTTTATTTAAATCAATCCCACTCGCAAAACCCGCATCTGCCATCATGTTAAAACACTAATAGCTCCAGGGGGTATGCGCGAAATGATATGAGAGCAGTAGTGGGAGTGATGTACAATACCTGAAAATGGCAATCAGCAAGTTGACAAGCAATACCACCGCGAGAAGCATGTAGACGGC